GGTGTCATGGTGTGCAGCTGTGACCCCCACCCCCCACCCTGCACTGGGGAGGTAGAGACAGATAGTGGGACTTGCTGGCGGGCCAGCGTGCCTAGCAAGCTGCCTTTGGCAAGCTCCAGGTCAGTGAGAGACACTGATCTCAGGAAACACGGTGGTAGGTGCCTGAAGTTGTCCTCACCACATGTACACACACGAGTTCAAGTCTGTCTCCTTGAGATCCCTCGCTTTCTAGTTCCTCCCCATACTCAGAAGTTCTAGCCTCAAGCGTTTGCTTTCATCCCTAAGGAGTCATAGGCCATGATTTATTGTTTACATTCAGGTAGCACTGGAAGCCATAATTTGCAGCTAGTTTTTGTAGTGTTTCTAAGGTAGACACTAATGCCATTCAAGATCTCCCTGGTTTATTCCTGAAGGTATCAAGTCAGGGGCTTAAGGGGGCTCAGTTCAGATGTAGATGGTGACAAAGCACAGAAGTGAGTGTTCACTTTTTAGGGTTTGTGTGTCACCCCACGTCATCGTCCAACACCTGTGGGTGGCTAAGGCTCTGAATTGGAACAGTCTGGGTCTGAATGGAAGTCGCTGAAAGCTTTGTACCTGCAGGCCGCATTGACAGAAAGATTGAGTTCCCTCTGCCTGATGAAAAGACCAAGAAGCGGATCTTCCAGATCCACACAAGCAGGATGACACTGGCTGATGATGTAACCTTGGATGACTTGATCATGGCAAAGGATGACCTCTCTGGGGCTGACATCAAGGTGAGTAACTGGGTGGGCTGGCTTCCTCGGGGAATTTGGTCTTTTAGGGAAGACTGCAAACTCTAGGGGTGGCACTTAGGCCAAGTGTGTGGATGCCTCGGTTTTACCATCATAGTCACTTGGTGGCTTTAATATTATATCCAAATGGAAGATTTGCTTTTTATTCAAAGTCATTTAATGCATTAATCTGTGAAGTAAATGACCACACCCCCGTGAACCCACAAGGATCAGTCACTAACATTGTTTGCCACCCCCACTGTACAAGGCCTGAGTGACCTGCTTGAGTAAGTCAGACTTCACCTTTAGTCCTCTGCCAGCAGAGTGTCTGCTGGGAGAGGTCACCCCAGAGCTGCAGAGGCCCCCCACACTGCACTGTCGTTCCCACCTTGTGTTGATGAGCTACTCAAGTTTACTGTTGGTTTTGTTGCAAATGTTAGTACGTTTCTCCTCGGCTGCCCAGTCTTTATGTCAAGGCCTTTGAGCAATGAATGTGGTGCAGGCTCCTTTCCTTCAAGGAGCGGGGTCTTCCTCAGCATGGGTCTTAGGTAGAAGCGGCACACTGAGTGCTTCTCCGGGCCAGTGCCTGCACTCAGGTCATTAGCATCAGTCCCACAGAACTGAGTTAAAGAGCTGAGTTTTTCTTTTTCATTGGAAATTACTTTTAATTGTACTACATAAACTTTTCTTAAAATTTTCCCAGCATTCAGAGAAGTACATGTATACCCACATGCCCATCTCCTACATTGGCTAACCTTTTCCTGTCCTCAGGCACACCTACTTTTTGGCTGAACCATTTAAAGTAAATAATTTGATGACCATTTCCACACAACATTCAGTGCCAGGATTGTGGTATTTTTGCTTTGTTTGGCGTTGTTGTTGTTTTTAACATTTAATTTTTAATCATGTGTGTCTGTGTGGGGGAATGTGCACAGGAATATAGGTACCTGCAGAGGCAAGAAGAGGGCATCGGAGTCCTTGGAGCTGGAGTTCCAGATGGTTGTGAGCCCAGAGTGGGTACCAGGAACCAAACTCAGTCCTCTGCAGGAGCAGCATGCACTCTTAACTCCCAAGCAGTCTCCTCAGTGCCCTGGATTGCATTCTAACGCATGTGTCCAAGGGCTCTTGTTTCACTTGGGCAAGAACTACTGAAGAATGTATTAGAATAATTTCTGTACGCCAACATAGCTAACAGGAATATGTGTATGCTCTGAGTCCAGGTAAATGAAATGGGCATACACTCAAGTCCCTGCCTTTGGGCCTATCACTTGCTCCATCTCCTAGAAATATCTTTAATGAAAGTAAAGCTACAAGAATTTACTGACTGGCCAAACCACATAGCTTGTCAGAACCTGAGCCACAGCTCAGAACTCCAGGTCCCTGGGCCAGTTCTCTCCCTTAAAGTCTTCCCAGTTTATACATCTTGGATTCTTTCAGAAATTATGATGCATGAGACATTTAAAAAATAACCTGTTCCCAAATGAGCAACTGTGTTTAGTCTGTCTTATACTTTATTTCAAAATATCTCTCTGAATTCCGTAAGATAAAAATAAGTGTTTCAGCTGAACATACTGGGTTTTTTTTGTTTGTTTGTTTGTTTTTTTGGTTTGGTTTTTTTTGACAGGGTTTCTCTGTGTAGCCCTGGCTCTGCCTGTCCTGCCTGTCCTGCCTCTGCCTGGGATTAAGGGCATGCCCCATTAAGCCCAGCTCATACTGTTCTTTCTTTCAGGCAATCTGTACAGAAGCTGGTTTGATGGCCCTGCGGGAACGCAGAATGAAAGTTACAAATGAAGACTTCAAAAAATCTAAAGAGAATGTTCTTTATAAAAAGCAAGAGGGCACCCCTGAGGGGCTCTATCTCTAGTGACCCACAGTTGCCTTCAGGGAAGTTAATGAATTCCCCGACCTGGGAAGATGGGAAGCTGCCCCAAGGAATCCATTTTTCCAGTGAGTTTCGCTGGTAGAGCCTATCTCGAAGGATGCTGTGCAGGGTGCCCATCAGGCATCTCCATCCGTGGGTCACTGTGTTGTGCTGCTCTCTGCTCCCAATAAAGGGTTGTCTGGTTTGCTTTCTATTGCTGCGATGGACACCATGACCACAGCCAACTAGGGCGTGGGGCAAGAGTTCACCTCACAGCTTACAGTCCCTCACGATGGGAAGTCAGGACAGGAACCTGGAGAAAGAACTAAAGCAGAAAGGAACTGGAGGAGTGCTACTTCCTAGCTTTCTTGTACACCCCGGGACCACTTGCTGAGGGGTGGCACCACTCACAGTGGACTGGGCCCTCCCACATAATCGTTTACTAAGAAAATGCCAACAGACTTGCCTGTAGTCCAGGCTGATGGAGCGGAGGCATTTTCTCAGTTGAAGTTCTGTCTTCCCAAACAACTCTAGCTTCTGTCAGGTTCACAAAAGTAGTCAGCATAGGCAACACTTTGACAGCTGCTGAGGCTGCACGCCCACAGCTCCCTGCCGCAGACAAGAGGGTCCCGCACTAGGGAAGCTTGTCGGCACCACAAGGACACCCTTCATGTGTCCAAAGCCAGTGCCTCAGACAGAGCCACGGGGCCAGTGGTCTTTGCACGGTAAAGGCTAAGTTAATGTGGCTGTTTTTCAGGAGACCAGTTTGCTCTGTGGACTGCAGGGCTCCGTAGTGGGCAATACATGTTGTTCTCAAGAGGCTGAGGATCCCTGAAATTAGTCAGTGAAGGATCTTATCCCAATC